ATGAAGACTTTGGGCGCATGCACTAATTATTGCATGGGTAGACCCTTGTACATCTACTTATACCAATGACATTGCAGAATGTCTGGAATGGGCTGTGGCTATAGGGGTCCATGAACCTTCTAGTAAAGTTCAGCTAGAGATAGTGGGATTTCACACATACTCCACACAGTGACCTCACGTGACCATGGCAGAACCACGACATACTGAAAGAACAGTACTATTAATAGAAGAACAGAATGGTTAGAATCACAGAAGCACAGAATATCTCAAGTTGGAAGGTACCTGTAAGGATCAGTGAGTCCAATTCCATGCTCCTTGCAGGACTACCTAAAACAACCAGAATACTAAAAGCATCGTCCAGATGCTCCTTGAACTTTGACAGAATTTGTTATGGAAAAAAATAGCCAAAATGTACAAAAAGTCACTGTTCTGTGTTCTAGAATACTACTCGTGTACATATATATATATATGTTCGTATAACTGACTTGCTCAGCACTGGTGGCTAACTTCACTGAAGCTTTAGGCCGCACGCTGTGAATCTGCCAGTTGAATTCAGTAAACTTTCATGGAACCCTTGCCAAGCTCAGTGAAGGAGGGCCCCAAGGACTTGGTTGCAGCTAGAAGACAAGGAAGTTCCTTTGACAGCAGCAGGGCCTCTCTGCAGATAAGGGAAGAATCTTCAGCCTGCCCAGAGACAATGGAGGGGCCCAGTGAGGGACAAAAGCCCCCCAGACCAAAATGACACCATTGGATCAGCTGCTGATTGGACACCAGGTGGAGAACTCATGCAGGATGGGAACTTAGGTTGTAAGGGTATAATTGCCCAGGGATTTCTTTGTTTCAGGTCCCTCTCTGGAGGCACCCAGCTTGAGCTGGTTTACATCACTGTAACACCTAATAAACTTGGCTGGCATAAGTTGTGTCAGAGACTCTAGTTTGGGAAACCTAGGGTAGAGCCTGAGGGATGAGGTAGCACCCGAGAGTGAGTGTGTTTGTGTGTGTGAGGAGTTGAAAAGGGGCACCTGCCAGATCACTGGAGTCACCTGCTGCGAAAGGACTCCGGTCCTAGCAATTAAAACCTCAGGTGGTGTGTGTAACTTCTTGAACGGTGTGTGAATGCTCAGGCAGCACCTGCTCCCTTAAAAGCCTTGGTGCCCTGGCCACTTTGCTTGGCAGCCTGTTCCAGTGACCAACCACCCTCTCAGTGATGAAGAATGCTTTCCTAATGTCCCATCTGAACTTCCTCTGATGTAGCTTCATTCTAATTCCTTGTATCTTATCGCTGCCCACCAGAAAGAGGAGGTCAGCACCTTCCCCTCCGTTGACTCTCTTGAGGAAGGTTTCGACAATGATAACGTCAGCCCTCACCCTTCTTTTCTCCAAGCTGAACAAACCAACTGACTTCAGCCACTCCTTCAAATCTTGCCATCAAGATATTTCGCCATACTGATCATCTTCACCTGGACACGCTCTAATATTATGATGTCCTTTTTATATTGAGGTACACAAAATTGCACACTGTACTCTTGGTGGGGCCACACCAGTGCAGTGTAGGGTGGGACAGTCACCTCCCTTGACTGGCTACCTATGTTGTGCTTGATGCCCTCCAGGGTATTGTTGGCCCTTTTGGCTGCCAGGGCGCACTGTTGACTCATGTTCATGTTGCCCTCAACCCAAAATCCAGCCTCTGGATCCAGCTCTGCATCCGCTAGTCCCTCACCTTGTATGCATAACCAGGATTACTCATCCTAGGTGGAGAACGTGGCACCTCCTATTCTTAAATTTCATACCGTTGGTGACTGCCCAGCTCTCTAGCTTATCCAGAGCTCTCTGTAAGGACTCTCTACCCTCAAGGGAGTCCACAGCTCCTCCTAGTTTAGTACCACTGGCAAACTTACTTAATGTACGTTCCATTCCGGTGTCCAGATCGTTTATGAAAACATTAAAGAGCACCAGCCCTAACACTGAGCTCTAGGGAACCCCACTGCTGACTCACCAACAGCCTGATGTAACCCCATTTACTATATCTCTTTAAGACTGACCCATCAGCCAGCTGTTCACCCAGCATATTATGGACTTGTCTTGCTGTGTGATGGACCTCTTGTCCAGGACACTTCGAGAGACACTTTCAAAAGTTTTGCTAAAATCCAGTACAACCCTCACATCTACCAGCATCCCTTGGTCAAATAGATGGGTGACCGTGTGTGGAATTATTAGTAAAATTAAGGTTTTACATCTGAAAATTAAGGTTTATATGAAAAATGTAGCAGTGTTCACCCATTGAGAAAAAGCATGAAATCAAAAAGAGCTCTGAGGATGGGACACAGCTGCAGCAGGCATGCGAGGAATCCACTAACACAGCAACTCCCTGCAACACACCATAGAGACTAAAAGCATCGTCCAGATGCTCCTTGAACTTTGACAGAATTTGTTATGGAAAAAAATAGCCAAAATGTACAAAAAGTCACTGTTCTGTGTTCTAGAATACTACTCGTGTACATATATATATATATGTTCGTATAACTGACTTGCTCAGCACTGGTGGCTAACTTCACTGAAGCTTTAGGCCGCACGCTGTGAATCTGCCAGTTGAATTCAGTAAACTTTCATGGAACCCTTGCCAAGCTCAGTGAAGGAGGGCCCCAAGGACTTGGTTGCAGCTAGAAGACAAGGAAGTTCCTTTGACAGCAGCAGGGCCTCTCTGCAGATAAGGGAAGAATCTTCAGCCTGCCCAGAGACAATGGAGGGGCCCAGTGAGGGACAAAAGCCCCCCAGACCAAAATGACACCATTGGATCAGCTGCTGATTGGACACCAGGTGGAGAACTCATGCAGGATGGGAACTTAGGTTGTAAGGGTATAATTGCCCAGGGATTTCTTTGTTTCAGGTCCCTCTCTGGAGGCACCCAGCTTGAGCTGGTTTACATCACTGTAACACCTAATAAACTTGGCTGGCATAAGTTGTGTCAGAGACTCTAGTTTGGGAAACCTAGGGTAGAGCCTGAGGGATGAGGTAGCACCCGAGAGTGAGTGTGTTTGTGTGTGTGAGGAGTTGAAAAGGGGCACCTGCCAGATCACTGGAGTCACCTGCTGCGAAAGGACTCCGGTCCTAGCAATTAAAACCTCAGGTGGTGTGTGTAACTTCTTGAACGGTGTGTGAATGCTCAGGCAGCACCTTCTCCCTTAAAAGCCTTGGTGCCCTGGCCACTTTGCTTGGCAGCCTGTTCCAGTGACCAACCACCCTCTCAGTGATGAAGAATGCTTTCCTAATGTCCCATCTGAACTTCCTCTGATGTAGCTTCATTCTAATTCCTTGTATCTTATCGCTGCCCACCAGAAAGAGGAGGTCAGCACCTTCCCCTCCGTTGACTCTCTTGAGGAAGGTTTCGACAATGATAACGTCAGCCCTCACCCTTCTTTTCTCCAAGCTGAACAAACCAACTGACTTCAGCCACTCCTTCAAATCTTGCCATCAAGATATTTCGCCATACTGATCATCTTCACCTGGACACGCTCTAATATTATGATGTCCTTTTTATATTGAGGTACACAAAATTGCACACTGTACTCTTGGTGGGGCCACACCAGTGCAGTGTAGGGTGGGACAGTCACCTCCCTTGACTGGCTACCTGTGTTGTGCTTGATGCCCTCCAGGGTATGGTTGGCCCTTTTGGCTGCCAGGGCGCACTGTTGACTCATGTTCATGTTGCCATCAACCCAAAATCCAGCCTCTGGATCCAGCTCTGCATCCGCTAGTCCCTCACCTTGTATGCATAACCAGGATTACTCATCCTAGGTGGAGAACGTGGCACCTCCTATTCTTAAATTTCATACCGTTGGTGACTGCCCAGCTCTCTAGCTTATCCAGAGCTCTCTGTAAGGACTCTCTACCCTCAAGGGAGTCCACAGCTCCTCCTAGTTTAGTACCACTGGCAAACTTACTTAATGTACGTTCCCTTCCGGTGTCCAGATCGTTTATGAAAACATTAAAGAGCACCAGCCCTAACACTGAGCTCTAGGGAACCCCACTGCTGACTCACCAACAGCCTGATGTAACCCCATTTACTATATCTCTTTAAGACTGACCCATCAGCCAGCTGTTCACCCAGCATATTATGGACTTGTCTTGCCGTGTGATGGACCTCTTGTCCAGAAGGACACTTGGAGAGACAGTTTCAAAAGCTTTCCTAAAATCCAATACAACCCTCATGTGGATAGTTAGGGCCTGGCGGTCGGAAGATGTCGCGCTGTATGGAAAGGTAGGCCCCCCCCTCCTCTCCTGATAACCAGTAGCGTTTAGCCCATAACCCCGTGCTGGCTATGACCAATGACTGCGTTGTCTCTCAACTGTTTTTTGACAACTCTCACAACAACCTTCTCCATCATTTTACCAGGCACTGAAGTGAGACTGACAGGCCTGTAATTACCAGGGTCTTCCTTAGTTCCCTTCTTAAAACCTGGGACAACATTTGACATCTTCCAGTCATCTGGGACCTCTCCACGCTCCCAAGACCATTGGAAAATAACGGAGACAGGTCCTCTGATAAAATTGGCCAGCTCTCTTTGTGCCCTTGCCTAAATCCCAGCAGGCCCCATAGTTTTATGTGCATCCAGCTGGACCAATGCAGATGAAATGTTATGAACTGACCCCAAAACCCATTTCCCATTGGCCCCTGTGCCTCTGGTGGAGAGGAAGAGAAGGAAGCAGTGCAGTTGAGACTGGGAAGGAGGGCAGAGAGGGAGGAAGGTTTCTATGGCATTGAAGGTTTCTTTGATTCTCACCATACAATTCCATTTTAACTGGCAATAAATTCAAATTACTGCACTGTGCAGGAAAGGTCAGGAACACCTGTAGTGCACAGCGATGACCCCTCAATTCCTGGGAACAGCCCTGATGGTCCCCAGCCCCAACACGCGCCTGCCCAGCAGCTCACACATCCAGGGCTGGGCCCCAGCAGGTTTGTGTTAAAGCTCAGCTGCATTTCCTGTTCCCGTGTGAACAGCACAGAAGTAGCGAGCAGAGTCTCGGGGGTGCAGGGCACGCAGGGACAGAGCTGATTCAGACCGGGAATTGTCCCGGGACACTGTGGCTCGACCCTGCACTGCTGGTGCGTAACTTGTTATAGAACTTAAGGTATTGATGAAGGACACCCACTGGAGACTGCCACCGGGTGCCTGACGGTACCACCGAACTCCATAAACCTTGAAGTCGAAGCCGGAGCCGCGGCAGGAGAGTTGCGCGGAGTCCCCGGGCGCTCGCA